CACAGGGTATATCATTTTAACACCTCTTGCGACAGCATGAAAATAGGTAAAATTTGATGATAACCACGCTTACTCCCAATATAACGGTTTTGTTGAAAACTATTTAAAGTGTAATAAATCAATAACTAAATGCGTCAGAGATTTAAAGTTTTATACTCGGGAGGACACAAGAGGAGCCGATGTCAAAATTGGACGGAGGGCGTGTTAAATTCATTACATAACATTCTTAAAGTATTCTTTTGTTACAATGATACATGTGTAAAAATGTAGGAAATCAAATCACAATCACGCCTAATTCCAATATAACACAATTAAAATTCCATCCGATTCTTTCACATTCCAGTATACAAATAAAGCACCAATTATTATATCGGATAGAACTTTGTACGAATAATCCCTCTGAAGTGTGCCACTTTATGATCAAAAATTGTCCAAATTGAATCATAACTGTTCAAGCCCCTAAGTACCGAATATGTGGACCCCAAAGCCTACAAAAAGTCTACTTTTTACCGAAAATATCGACCAATGTATCTGATATATAATATAATTGAAATTAGAAAGAAAAATAGGAGAGAAATCTTTCCTGATAATAGTATGTCTGAGTGGCAAAAATGGATTGAATCGGGTTAAGATTTTCGAACTGCCGGGTGAGTTTATACCGCATATATCATATATTGAGTTATCTCAATAAAAATGAGAGATCGTGGTTTCCCAACAGTAGGGTGAAAATTTTTCCTAGCCCCAATATAACTAATCACAGACTTTTCAAACACAGGGTTAATTTTACTCCATATATGTTGGTGTCGGTAAGTGTACGGATATCTTATTCTGTTAATAGCATGTTGTATTGCCAAAAATATATAAAACATAAGATTTTCAAACTTCCGGTTGGCCCTATACCATATATAATATATCAGTCAAATACTACATATTATTTATTGATTTTCGTTATTTTATCACACCTTATGCGGAACATGTCGTTCAATGTTTGAGTTATGTATTTATAAAATTGCTTGAAATTATGATCTTAAGTCTACCTCAGCAATGTCCAAATTAACTCAATTAGCCCAACCTTTTTCTGTCCTCAATATAACCTGTATAATAATTTCCGACCTTCCACCTGACAAAATGTGTGATACTCCAATTAAGTGAACAAGTTTTCTTAAAATTGTGTGGGAATATGAATGAAATTGGTCTAGACATTGGTCCAAACCTATCTCCCTAGAATAATGAATTGCACTGCTCTAGTTGACGTTTTCACATCAACTAATTATATTAAAATTAGCTTCTTCTGTTGATTTTATATCCAATATATATCATTTGAAGATGATTTTTAGCTTACGGGAAGTAATATATAGTAATAAAGCTAAGTGAGTCTATGATCTATAATATAATTTAATAAAATACCAAATTTGATTGTAAACCATTTTCAATTTCATCGAATAATGAATGTTGAATTGTTTCGCAACATTTTTAAATATAAGGTTTTCCTAACACCTGATGGTATTTCCCTGCTTTCATCCTTGCAAGTTGCAGGAATATAAAATGTTCGGTTTCACTGGAACTTAGCCCCTTCTTACTTATTATTCTTTCCCATCGTGTTGCACAGAAAGCAAAAGTTTTGTTCACCTTTAATACATAAAACTAATCGAGATAATACAAGTATAGAGTTATGTGTATTAATTTGACCAAGATCGCTGTTTGTTCATCCCTTCATCCGTGCAAGTGATAACTTGAGTAATAATGCCACTATGAGAAGGTTGGTATTGATTGGCGAAATGGTACCATTGCCACCTCTACAAATTAAGGTATAAAATTGTACGGGACATCGGCATAGGGCAGGGAGTCTATGGTTTTAAAATTTTTTAAAAGGTGGGCTTTTCCCGCGTTCTAACAGGCTTGATCTACATATCTCAGAAACCACTAAAGCAATTGATATTGCCATCTTTCTGGCAACAAGTCTTTCTTATTACTTATACTGTTTCAAAATGGGCGTAATCGGAGTACAACCTTGCCTACTCAAGCACAAATGAAGATATCAGAATAAGATTTTGTATAAATAGTGTAAAATTAAAGTTACGCCGTTTCACATCCTAAAATATTAGAAATAATTTAAAAATGTTTGAACCTTCTGTTGAATTAATAATGATATTGGACATCGGTTAATATTTAAGATTTCTCAGCAAAATTAAGTTGTTTTGTAACTTGGTGCGTGAAATTGGCAAAGGAATTGCTCTGGGCCGCATATATCCTTCGTAATTTTAGTGGACTTTGTGTAGTGGACTGAATATATCAGTATATCAGTCGAATTACGTGGACGTATGTTGTCAAGTACATTTTAAATTAAAAATAAAAGCGATCGGTTCAAACCTTCGCCTAACGCCAACATACACATGTTTGTTAGTTAAGGCAAAAGCTTTTCAGCTTTCATTTACATATATTAGTTTATTATATTAGGTAAAGTAAAAAGTTCGTTCGGTTTTTTATTGATTTTTCAAAAGATGATAACTTTGTGTGCATTTTTCCGATTTAAGTCAAATATGCGCCGTTTAGTTCGTAAACTTGTTGGCAACGAGATGCCAACTTCATTATACCCCTCTTGTAGAAGGCTGCGTCCCTATTGGCAAAAAACTCGGTAAGCCAATTTTCACAGGCCTCTCTTGAGGCTAACTTCTCACCATGAAACGCGTTCGCCATGGACAGGAAAAGATGGTAATCACTTGGTGCCAGGTCCGGACTATAAGGTGGGTACATTAGGACCTCCCATCCGAGCTCCCGGAGCTTCTGGCGCGTCACCAAAGACGTGTGTGATCTGGCGTTGTCCTGATGAACATAATTCGGCCTCTGTTGATCAAAGATGGCCTCTTCTGGATGAGTACTGCCTTCAAGCGGTCCAGTTGTTGGCGGTAGAGGGCCGAATTGGGCGTTTGGCCATAGGGGAGCAGCTCGTAGTAGATGATTCCTTGCCAATCCCACCAAACACACAGCAAAACCTTCCTGGCCGTCAATCCGGTCTTGGCCACCGTCTGGGCCGCTTCCCTGAGCTTTGACCACGACCGTTTGCGCTCGATGTTGTCGTAAGTGACCCATTTTTCATCGCCAGCCACAATCCGCTTCAGAAACGGGTCGATTTTGTTGCGATTCAGCAGCGATTCGCAGATGGAAATTCGGTCCATCATGTTTTTTTGCGTTAGTTCGTGTGGCACCCAAACATCGAGCTTCTTTTTGAATCCAAGGTTATGCAAATGGTTCCAAACGGTTTTCTAGCTTATCTTTTGTTCCTCAGCAATTAAATAAGTGCTCACGTGACGGTCTGTTTCCACTATTTTCATGATTTTATCGCAATTTTCGACGAAAGGCATCCCGACGCGTGATGCATCTTTGACATCAAAATTACCGGAACGGAACCTAGCAACCCATTTTTGTGCTACACGTTCGTTTACAGTATCGGGCCCATAAACTAAATTAATGTTTTCAACCGCTTTGGCTGCTTTTTCGCTTTGATCGAAGAAAAATTGTAAAATATAGCGAATTTTATCTTTGTTGGTGTTCATCTTTGACGAGCGCTCACGACGAAACACAGCGTATCAATACAATGCGTTGATAAGCGCCCCAAACAATACGAGCTATTTGCAAGTATTTATTTGGATACCAGTGGCAGTGTGTCTGGGTCCACACTACCATCTTGGTATGATTCGAGGCCGACCTAAAACCTCTTCCGTTTTCAGGTACGGAACCCAGTTGATTTTTGCAACTTTATTTTAGAACTGAAAAAACAGTTAGGCTGAATTTTCAGTTCTTCCTGCATTTAGGTTTCAACCACAGCCACCATGAATCTCCCTAAAGGGGCCATAACCCAATGAGCAGATTGGACCGAAATCCAAGGGCTTTCTGCTCCCCGCGGTACCAGAAAGTCTCCGGTAAGACTGTGTAGCCGAAACTACTGCCAGTTGAGCAACCCATTACTCAATGACTGGTGACATTTGTCGCTTGAACTTCAAATGTATTTTTATTTGCTTTTTCATTCTATAATATCAGTTCAAGCTGAGTATTATAGCACTATTTCTGGCATACTATGCTGATATTACTGAGCAAGGTACATAATAACAGTCATAGTGCATTTGGCTTTTAGTCGCCTTTTACGACAGGCATGCCTTACCGCGGGTAAATTCTTACCCCTACCCGCAGGGGGAACTTAAATCGGACAAATGTACACAAGGTTATCATCTTTTGAAAAATCGATAAAAAACCGAACGAACTTTTTACTTTACCTAATCTATTTCTGGCTTCCGCCGTTGGCGAGGATTTAACTCATATATAGTTCATTCAAGGTTTGAAAATTTTGCAGAGTAATCTTATTAAGCCGTTTGAACTTTTCTTTTCATTTCAATGTTTCTGTTACAATGTTTGTGTTGCTCGCGAAAACTTTTCAACCGGTTTTATCCATATAACATATATATACCATTAATCTGTTTTTCGACGTTATATAACATGTATACCACAACGGACCCTAAACTTAATTTACTTAAGCCTTCATATTAACGTGATATTTAATAATACCTGAGGTGTGATATTTGCGAAGCAATGGTTAAAATAATTTAGAGAGCTGTATTACTAATTGGATAATTAGAGTAAAACATTCGTTAGACTGATTATATTTTTCTAATTAATTTACACAAATTGTTGTCAATAAAATCAAGAATAGTTTTAGTAAGCAAACTCAAATCATTTATTTAGTGATGGAAAATAAATCCGTCATGGTATAATTGTTAGAGGTGCGCACTATTACTACAGAAGATCTGAGTTCATTTCCAGTTCCGACTAAACCCAAAAGGTTGTTAACACAACTGTAAATCAGCCGTAAAATGCTGCTGATATACAAAATTCATACGAATTTCGGAGTAAACTTAAAACTTTTAAGACTTTATATTTACTTATAATATCAAGTCACACCAAAAATGGATGTGCCAATTTAAAATTTTTTGTATTATTTAATCTAGATATGAATACACCAACCTCAACCGCAATCTCGAAGAAGGAGATACTGAAAACCAACTAGTTATAATCGAACAACGCACTCGCCTGTCTTTCGTCAGATATATGTAAGAAGAAAAAATGTCAACAACGTGGTCGCAGCTCGGAACGTTTAATATGCTTGCAGAGTTTACACTACTAAGCGTAGAATGTATATTCACCAATTAAATTATTGTTATCGACATGGCATAGTATTTATTGCAACAAACACGTCAAACTTATTACACGATATATACAGGACTACAAAATCGTATGATAATAAAATACTAAAAATGATATAACTTCTTTTTTTATCGGCAGAATAGGTAAAGTTGGAGCGAAAGACCGTAAAAACAATTTGATTGGTCAGTTAATAGATCAGTTGAGTGATTTTGATAATTTTACAGTGGTTGCGTATTTAGAATAAGGCCATTTGCCGCAAACGCATAACCTACACACCTTTGTCTATTTGGTTAACACTAGACGTCTGAAATTATCGATAGTCGGGGCCACCGACAGTGTTTGGCATTTGCATTGCTAATTGACTGAAATCCCTCTGTCTTGAACCAATGATCTAATATTGTGCCTATTCTTGTAAAGCTCCGTAATTCATGTAGTGCTAGTCTTTTACAAACAGATGCTAATAGCATACCATGAAACGAATTAGCCTCCGGCGTTACCAATTTCGTTTGTAAGTTATTGCAATCAGTTTTTCAAAAATCCCAAAAGAGGTAATTTTTATAAGAGAAATAGAAATAAATAGTAACATAACTATTGCCATATATCTGTTAAAATAGTAAGGTTATTTTAATTGGAGTTAGGGGATTTAAAATAATTAGAAATTTAAATACCAAAAAAATATATAACTATATGAAATGCACCTATGAGAGCATGAAAGTGGTGCTGGCGCTTTCACTGTTGACAATAAAATTTTGGGTGTATGTTACATAGCTTCATTGATTGCTATAATCCGTTTAAAAATCAAATATATGCAAATATATGAACTTCCTGCAACAAACTGTAAGGATTTTCGGTTTACTGATTTTTCTTGAATTTTTTATATGTTAATGTACTACCCTGCAAGACGGATATCTATTAGCAAACGTGTTACCTACTTGTTACTGTTCACTCGCGTATTAGTTAAAGTATTTATTCAGTGAGTGAGCAAAAAGTAACCCATAACCCATTGGATGTTCAATGTATTTCCTGCGCTATCCAATTACAGTAATGGCAGGTTGCCTTTTTCTATGCTATCTCTTCTATACGTACCCTATTGGTTTTGTTTTGGTAAGCAGTATGGCATATATTAGTTACCGAATATGTTTACAATCTTTTAGATGCATGTGTTATCCAATATGTTAGCAATCTGTTACCTCTGCTATTTACATTTAGGCATTAGCGAATGGGTTACTTACATATGTGTTACTCATAACAGCAATATCAGTTACCCCAGGGTTATTGTTTTGGTTACTCTACACAAAACATGTTATCGTATTTGTTACCGATTTGTTACTGCTAAACAAGCATATCTGTTACTTTACTTTCATCGAGTGTTACTCTATTGGTATTCTATCTGTTACCTCTAACAAATGCATATGTTATCATATCAGTTACCTTTTTGTTACCATAATCAATTCCAAATCTTTTAAATAAAATTCAGTATTTTTTATATTATTTCGCTGTATTTTATTCAAAAAACGTATTTACTTAACCAAACTATTAAAAATAATTATTTCCATACATCCATATATGTATATATTTAATTTATATAGATATATAAATATATAATATAATATATTGTATATAAATACAGAGAAACCTCTCCCAACCTCTCCTCACCTCTATTAGACGGACACCTCTCTTGAGCGGACGCGAACAAAAAAATGATATAAACATAAAATTTTGTTCAAACCCCTCCAAAACATTTAATTTTCAACTCTTTGGGCCAGAGTTTGGTTAATATTCTTAGAAAATATATTACTAACGAAAGAAAATAAAATTAATGATTTCATATCAAAACTGTGACCTCCTGGTGTCCCGCCAGCAGTCAACTCTGATGGCGATCGGCAATAGACACCACCCTCTAACTCCACCACTTCCGGCGGAAATGGCACCGAAAAATTTAAAAGTGTAGTTTAAGAGAGGAATGAACTACCCTGCAAGTTTACACGAATTCTAAAATCACAAAAAAAAGTAATTGAAAAAAACTTAGGAACTATTAATGATAATAATGCAGATGATGAGAGTATTACCGAAGAAAGTAAGGAAATAATAAGCGAAGTTGCTGTAATTGCTCTTTCAAATTTAAAAAAATGTTTGCAGAAAAGACGTTATTGCATTCGATTTGTTGCAAAATTTGGAAATCCAGTAAGAAAATACTTTCCTTTAAAGAGAGCAAAAAAGTTTAAGGCAATCGACAATTTCCTAGAGTTTTTAGTTTTTGACGACATTTATAGTTTATTTTATAGTTTTAAATTTAATAATATTTACTTTTGTTTTTGTTTATTGTTGAATCTAAATGTATCTATGTATATACACATAGCCAATAAAGTCTGCGTTCACCCGACACATTTTTTTAAGTGAAGTAAAAACACAATGTAAATAGGAAATTCAGTTCAAATTTTCCGCATGCATTTCTTCTTTATATTCTTAAGTTCAAAATGCAAAAACAAAAATGTATATTCCTATTTTAATTTTTGTGTTAACGGGATTTTAGTGTAAGAACAAGTAAACATAGGCACCATTAAGTCTGCGTTCAGTTAGCTGGAATTGAAAATACCGTTACTTCTCCTGAATTCGTTCGTTCTTTTTGCGTAGTTTCTATTGTGTTTTAATATAATATAATTAGTCGTTTAAAGAGCTCGTGACGCGTTTTAATAATACTTAATAAAATGTAAACCAAAGAAAAATAAATTAGTCTGTCGGAAAGAAAAATTATCGTTAAGTTGTGGAAAGATGGTGAAAGTTTCAGAAAAATTGGCTAACTATTGGAAGAACGTATTCTTCTGTCCAGCGCGTCGTAAAAAATTCTAAAAATACTATAATTTTAACGTCAAAACCGCGATCTGACCGTCCGAAAATATTATCAGCCCGGGAAGAATGGAAAATAATAAATATTGTGAAAGTTAACCCTCGAATTACGTCCACAAAGATTATTGAAATCGTAAATATAATCATTAAAAAAACAATTTGTGCCGAAACTGCTAGAAAAATTTTAGGAAAAGCTGGAAATCATGGTAGTCACTCGAAAAAAAACCATATTACAAGTGAAATTGTAAACAGGCATTGAATTTGCTCATAATTATATGAGTAAGTCGTCGGAATTCTGGAGACAAGTAATAATATTTTTTTTGAGTGTCCGCCCATGGGTGTTTTCACTGTATATGTATATATATATATACATATATAAATATATAACATAATAGTAGTAATAATAAAAGTAAAGGCGAGTACAGTTTGTAACAGAGAAGAGATCAAATAGCGGCAAAAAAAGCGCAGTTGAAGACGGTTGCCAAAGACGTAAGACATGTGCCACGGAACGACGATTCAAATGAGAGTTTGTTTAGCTATTTATATTGTACTCTCACATTCATTTTTATACTCTCGCAACCTGTTACTACAGAGTATAATAGTTTTGTTCACCTAACGGTTGTTTGTATCACCTAAAACTAATTGAATTAGATGTAGGGTTATATTATATATATATAAATGACCAGGATGAAGAGACGAGTTAAAATCCGGGTGACTGTCTGTCCGTCTGCCCGTCCATCTGGGCAAGCTGTAACTTGAGTAAAAATTGAGATATCTTTATAAAACTTGGTTTCGTAGGACGGTTGGTATTGCAGATGGGCATAATCGGACCATTGTCTTGCCCACAAAACGCCATTAATCAAAAACAAATAAATTGCCATAAACTAAGATACAACCCTGTTATTTGGTACACAGGATCATATTAGGGAGGCGTGGCACCGAACACTTTTAAGTGAAAATCCATATCTTGTAATCTGCTTAACCTATTTCAACCAAATTCGTGTAAAACTTTGCGCGAATAATGCGTTTAAAGTATGCCACCTTGTGACAACAAATTGTCTAAATTGAACCAAAACTGTTCAAGCCCCTAGGTACTGAATATGTGGATCCCAGCGCCTATAGTTGATATTTTACCGAAAATATCGGTCAACTTAGAACAAGGTGGCAAGATCCACAAAGAAATCTAAAACGAGTATACCATTTGACTTTGCGAGAGTATAAAATATTTAATTACATTCGAACTTAGCCCTTCCTTACTTGTTTTTCAATTCAGTTCAATATAACCAATAATCGTATATAAATCCATTTTTAAATAAAACAATTTTCGGATTTTCCAATGGGGATTTCAACCATTTTTAATTAATGATCTGTAATTTTTTTTCATTGTATTCTGTAATGTTTACAATTTCATCATGGAAAGATATACATACTCAATAATAGCGTTTAGAAATTATTCAATTTTGTTATCAAAATAATCGTTCTCAATTGCAACTTTTCGTGCACTTTTGCCATATTATTTGTTATTATTATTATGTATTATATGTAGAAAATTTCGAGCGTACATTTTTTTTACATAATGTTCGAGTGACTAATAAGGAACCGCTCGAACCGCACTTTTATCTGAGTGGTGCGGTAAATAACCAAAACTGTCGATTCTTGTGCGAATAAAATCCACAATTTATTCATGAACAACCATTACATTCACCTAAATTGACAGTTTGGTGTGTTTTTGATTTCATGAATTCAGCGGTCCGTACTTCTTTCGAAATGAAGCTGGTGAAACCATTACTGTCAATGGAGATCGGTACAGATCGATGATTGAATAAAACTTGCACCCGATATATTAAGAAGCACATCCCACTTTAACAGCAACCAAACAATTAAAGAACTAAAATATTTTTTGTATTTAGTTGAACAATTTAGTTTATTATTCGAATTTTATTATTAAATTTTACACAATGCAAGTAAAATTCCTTAAATATAAGTTTATATATTATCGGATCGCTAAATCGGCCGGCGCGTGCGGAGCGGTGTTGTCCGAATATAATGATGTGGCGCAGGAGTATAAACGAAAAAAGCAATAGCGCGGGATCGCTTTCGAATTGAACGTGTTGTTGTCCTAACGAAAGTAGATTTAGCGATCCCGTCCTTTTTGTTAGGTGTCTTGCATGTTGTTCTCAGAGGCAGAGTGTGGTGGTGTCGTTGTGTGGGGTGAAATTCCTTGAGTGTTCA